TTAATGACTTTTAGACTTCCTAAGATTAATTCCTAATTAAATATCTAATTTATTAATAATTATCATCTATAATCTATAAAAGAAAAAATTAAAAAAAGTCTATACCTAAATTGCTATACTTTTCCTCTTCTCATAACTTTTTCCTTTAATATAATTTATGTGGATAAAGTATTATCCTTTATGATAACTAACGAAATTTAATAATTTGAAGGGTGCAAATTGCAAAATGGAGACGCACACATTGATAATGTCCTCTTGATTATTATTAAAGAATGACTCTAGCTTCACAAATTTAAATTCATTGATGCTTAATTACGTGATAAGAACTTTAGTTGTTTTTTCTACATAGTTTGCTAACGTTAATTTTCTTTTTCATATTCTTCATTTAGTTACTATTATTTTCTAATTACTTATTCAACTTTTATACTCTTAATATTCATAACTCTCATCTTTTCATATTCATAACCTCTAATTATTTAAACTAGCACTTTAAGATATCTTTTGATATTCCTTCTATTCTATCTATATAAATTCAACTTCTTTATCTCATGAAATCCCTACCAAGATTATTAGGCTATTATTATTTTTATTCTATAGTTAAAGTAGATGAAGAAGACTCTTGAATTTTGTATAGGATATGGAAGGAATCGATAAGAACTCGGAGAGTTATGTACTAATTTTGTACTTTTTTTTTCATCTATATATGTATCAATCTTATAAGAATAATGTCTACCTTGTATTTTTTCTTAAATCTGTTTCTTTTTGTCTTTTTTTTCTTCTCTAATAGACTTCTTAATTTAGTTTTCTATGAATGTTTTATTGTCGTAAGTCTTTATACTTATTTTGTAATTGTTGCATTTTATTGTTCATTACAATTTTACATATATATATTTTCATGAAATTTTAGTCATTCTAATGTATCTATAAAAATTCACATGAAAACTTGCTCAGAAACTAGTATATATATATATACCATGCAATTTTTTTTGGGAGAAAGAAGAACCCGGCCCCTTGCGAAAATTGCTCTATCAACTGTCCAATCCACTGATCCAGAGTGAAGACAAAATTTGAATGTAATTTACTAAAATCTCTACCAACGTTTTTCTTATTGAATGAATTTTCTTCAAATTGATTTTGCTTGGTTTAATTTGTTATGATTTTTGAATAATGTATCATTTAATTTAAAAGTAATAATTTTATGTTAAACTTATGAGTATTTATTATAGGTTTTAAAATTTATGGATATAAACCACCATGTTTCATGTTTTTTTTTTTTTTTTAAATGTGGAATATATTTTTAAAAACTATGATCAAATACATATTGAAACATCAATGCAAACTTCACCTAAAATTAGAAGGAAAAAAAAGCCGTTGCTAAGTAGGAATAGTTCTAATAATTACATCTCTAGTTTTCCTATTTAGAATATGTTTTATTTACATATAAATATATAAACCGTCATAACATAAGTTGCCCAAATTTGATAGTAAAAGGGATATGAAAAGTGCAATATACTGCCTAATCCTACACAATTTAGAATTGTAAGGTAAGTAATCCAAATTCTTTTCAAACTTATTTTTGACATCTATATATACCCTCACAATTTATTAACTAAACATAATACATCATACATCTTTCTATTGATATAATTGATCATGGCTGGTGGGAACTTTATGGGTGCTGATGAAGGGGGTTCTGAGTACCCAGGAAAGTTGACACGTTACGTCGCGCTTACTTGTATTATGGCTGCAATGGGAGGGTTGATCTTTGGTTACGACATTGGAATTTCAGGGGGAGTTACTTCTATGGATCCTTTTCTCAAACTCTTCTTCCCTTCTGTTTATCGTAAAGAGGTTCTCGACACCTCCACCAATCAGTATTGCAAGTTTGACAGCCAGTTGCTTACCCTTTTCACCTCTTCTCTCTACGTGGCTGCTCTCATCGCCTCCTTTGTCGCTTCTTTCGTTAGTAAGAAACACGGCAGAAAAGTGACCATGTTCCTTGGAGGTCTCTTCTTCTTGTTTGGTGCCGTTCTCAATGCTGCTGCAGTCCATATTAGCATGCTCATCTTGGGTCGTATCCTTCTTGGGGTTGGAGTCGGATTTGCTAATCAGTCAGTACCTATTTATTTGTCTGAGATTGCTCCCTACAAGTACAGGGGTACCTTCAATGTTCTGTTCCAATTGGCCATCACCGTCGGGATCTTGATAGCTAATATCGTCAATTTCCTTACTAACAAGATCTCTGCTGGTTGGGGATGGAGGGTCAGCTTAGGAGGTGCAGCCGTGCCAGCACTAGTCATTTTGATTTCGTCTTTCTTTCTCGATGATACTCCCAGTTCGCTGATCCAAAGGGGAAAATCAGAGGAGGCAGAACAACTCTTGAAAAAGATCAGGGGAGTTGACAATGTTGATGCTGAACTGAAGGACCTTGTGGAGGCGAGTGAAGCATCCAAGAAAGTAGAACACCCATGGAAAGTCCTTCTCAGAGTCAGAAAGTACAAACCCCAGTTGATTTTATCGACTCTGATCCCGACATTCCAGCAGCTAACAGGGATTAACGTGGTCATGTTCTATGCTCCCGTGCTTTTTCAAACGCTAGGCTTTAAGGCCAACGCTTCCCTCATGTCCGCTGTCATCACCGGGGCTGTCAATGTGGGTGCAACTTTTATTTCAGTGTATTGTACAGACAGGTACGGAAGGAAGGTGCTTCTCCTCACGGGTGGCGTCCTAATGTGTGTATTCCAAGCATTAGTTGCAGGTCTTATTGGGTGGAAATTCGGAACTACAGGGGTGGTCGCCACTGTTTTGCCTCAGAGCTACGCAATATTAGTGGTTCTGTGCATCTGCGTGTTCGTGGCTGCCTTTGCATTCTCATGGGGTCCATTGGGATGGTTAATTCCGAGTGAGATTTCTCCATTGGAAGTTCGATCTGCAGCACAAAGCGTCACTGTCTCCATGAACATGTTATTCACGTTTGCGGTGGCACAAGTTTTCTTGAAGGTGTTGTGCTGGATGAAGTTTGGGTTGTTCATCTTCTTTGCTGCCTTTGTGTTCATAATGACTCTCTTTGTCTACTTTTACGTGCCGGAAACGAAGAATATACCGATTGAAGAGATGTCCCGAGTGTGGACAGAGCATTGGTACTGGAAGAATTACATGGATGAACAATCACCTGCAAAGGAAGTCGTCTAGAGTACTATTAGGATTACCACATAGTTTATTGTTTTAGTATAGTTATTTTTTAATCTATAGTATAATAATATTCTTTCAGTCTTTTTGATGTTGTGGAATTTCTTAGAATTTGTTAATTTTACATACTTGTGTTCTTTCTTTCTTTATGTGCAATATATTCGAGTTTTTAATTCCTAACTACCTACTGTGATAAAGGAATATTACTAGTTCTGGACACTTGCCTTGTAGCAATATACTTATTACTTAGCATTCATCATTACCTAATATGTAGCAAAAAAAAATTATTACTTGCATCTTATACATATTCTAAAATATTAAATTTATAGCATACAAACATATATATATATATCAATACATAACACCTTTTTATTGTAATAACTAGATTTTGTTGCCCGTGCTATGCACGGGCCCAATAACATAAATGGTATGTTTTGGGGCTAATAACGAAATTTTTTAAGCGATTGTTTGCGTGGATAAAGGAATAAGTTTTTTTATCACAAACCTGTACTTTCTTTGACGCTATTCAAGGCACAATAAGACTACTCACATACAACATTTTTGAACAATTTTATGTTGTCAATTATCACGATTTAATTTTAAGAATCAGTCAAAATTTTTTCTGTTTTTTTAATAAATATTTTAAGTTGTCAATTATCACGATTTATTGTATTTTATACATAATTTTTAACGATAGATTAATTTCAAGAATCAATCGAATTTTTTTAAATGTATTTATTTTTGAAATATTTTATGTTGTCAATTATCATGATTTATAGTATTTTTACG